GGGATGTTTTATTTAAGACATGGTATGCCTTTATGGTGTAGCTGGAATATGTAGCCTGCTCAAGTGCTCCAAAGTGGGACACAAACGCGTCAAAACCCTCCTTGAGAATTCACACTTAAAAACCTGAACTTGTCACGTCTCTATTATAGCACTATAATTTCACAAAATGGTGTCTAGGTCATACATTGGGCATATTGTTTTACTCAGAAGATGTAACTTAGCATAACTTATTTTAATTTTTTTTATGACAAGTGTAAGAAATACTCAGCAAAAATGCAACATATATGTAAAAATGACATCTCCCCTCACCACAAACATTGACATAAATTGGTGAAAAAATGGTGACAAGTTAAGGCACAATATACACCATATAAGAAACCCTTTGTGGGGTTATTTGAACAGTCACACTGCTATAATACCCTAAAATGAGACATAGGCCCGTCAAATCCATTTACGGAAATTCTAACTTTAAAAACTGAAATAGCCTTAGGTAAATAGCCTGTGATGTCTACTTTATATAAATATATACTTTTGTGTGGCAATTTATTTTCTGTGATGGCTACTAAATCTACAAGACAAACATACCAACTTCAAACATTTTTGCAAATTGAAATTTTATTTTAGTCCTTGTATTTTTTGTGACCTATAACTTTCAAAATAAGCTGAAATCCTATACATATGATTTACTCTATAAATCAAGACATAGATGAATTTATTTTGAATTATTTTTTCTAACCTGGACATATTATGCACACACTATTATTGCCAAAACTGTGAAAAAATATGTATTTTGTTTTTTCTTTATTTTTTGGCTTTTTTTTTAATTAATGAGATTGTGTATATATATATGACACCAAATTAAAGCCCTGTTTTCTCTCTAAAAAAATGATATATAATATGCGTTGGCGCAATAAATAACAGAGATGCAAATCACGTTTGAACACAAACGGCAAACCATGCAAAATGGCTAGTGTCCTTAAGGGTAAGACAAGCTTCTGAAGCGGTGTCCTTAAGGGGTTAAAGCATAATCTTTACGAGTTGGAGAATGTGCTATTTGTTATATTCAGCATTCTCTATTTCATCCCTTGGGGACCTGGAGTTTGGCAATCCCTTTAAAATATCTATCTATCCTTTTGGTTCTTAAGGGGTTGAGGATCAGAATTTCCCACAGATTCCCCTGTTGTGAAGGGGAACATTATAATTTCCTTTCTGCAATAAAAGGAATACGTTTAGGCTCATATGATCCATGTAACTTTGATGCTGGGTATTCAAGTATTTTAATTAACTTTGGAAGGTCTTTCCAGTCTCCAGACCATTCTACTAGGTTTACTATTTCAGGTTAAGTTCACCTGCTATCAGAACAATAAAAGAAATCCCTGAACATAAAGTTCCATTATGGGTCTGTTCTGATATTCATGGGGATTCTTCTAGGTATTTGCGGCTTTTATATCTAGAATTTGCGGCTTTTAGCTGTGCAGTCATTCTGCATAATGTAATATTGTAGCTTGTTGATGACAAACATTTGGATGATATGTTTTACATGGTCTCTGTACCTAGATCTGTATAAGTGATGGTCACTCCTAACATTGCATTGATGTAATACTTGTGGGTAGAGTTGAGCGGATACCTGGATGTTCGAGTTCGGCCGAACTTTGTCAAAAAGTTCGAGTTCGGGCTCGAACTTGACCCCGAAACCCATTGAAGTCAGTGGGGACCCGAACTTTTGGCCACTAAAATGCCTCTAAAAAAAGTTCTGGAAAGGGCTAGAGGGCTGCAAAAGGAAGTAAAATGGGAGTAAGATTAGGACCAGTGCCATGCAAACAAATGTGGATAGGGAAATCACTAGAATAGCACTAGATGGAATCTTTGATTTTTACCTTTGGAAGAACATAAATCAAAATCTAAAGCATGGCTGTCAGGAGGATCACCAGAATTATCCATTTGAGAGAGGGTTGGATTGCAGGGTATTCGCTTTCATTGTTTAAACTGATTTCATCTCCTGATGTATGGAGAAAAGGCATTCACAAGCCTCTGCTATTTGTGTACATAGTTTATACTAAATGACCCATAGGTTGAGGAGGCAGTGACCGCGGCGGTGGAGGAGCTAGCCAACAGTGTTTTTTTGTTTTTGTTTTTAATTGGGGTAGCCCCCAAAATATTGGGACATATAAAAAAAGAAACATTTACGGCCTGCGGTGCATTTCTTGCAGTCCAATAACGCCATCAGGTTTTTAAAACTGTCTGTATCCACCAGACGGAATGACAGCATTTCAAAGGCCAGGAATTTTTAAATGCTGGCATTCAGGGCCAGGGATCACGGGTTGGTAGCGGGGTACTTCCTCTTTCTCTCCAGTGTTTGGGAGATGGACAGTGGGACAGTGTGGAGATGCCGGACAATTGTGTATCTGTCCTATACTGGTGCAGGAACCCACCCTCCGAGCCACTTGTGAATGACTGGCCTGATAACCGTGGAAATGACCCCTCTTCCTCCCTTTCTTCCTCCTGTGCCACATCCTCTTCCATCATCGCCCAAAGTGTTTTTTCAAGGAGACATAGAAGCGAGATAGTAAGGCTGATAACTGCATCATCTGCACTGGCCATGTTGGTGGAGTACTCAAAACAGCGCAACATGGCAAACAGGTTTTGCATGGAGGCACACTCATGGTGGTGAAACTCCACTATCGTCTGCTGCTTGCACAGTCTCTCCAGCATGTGCAAGGTGGAGTTCCACCTTGTGGGCATGTCGCATATGAGGTGGTGAGTGGGAAGGCCGAAGTTATGCTGCAGCAGCACGGTGAGAACACCGAAAGCGTACACAGATGGCCCGCACTTTCTGCAGCAGCTCTGATATATCTGGGTAGTTTTTCAGGAATTTCTGCACCACCAAATTCAGCACATGCGCCAGGCAAAGGATGTGCGTCAAACCGGCTAGGCCCAGAGATGCTATGAGATTTCGCCCATTATCGTACACCACCAGGCCGGGCTTCAAGCTCAGGGACATCAACCACTCATCGGTCTGTTCCATGCCTGTCCACAGCTCCTGCGCGGTGTGGGATTTCCCCCCCCAAACATATGAGTTTTAAAACAGCCTGCTGTCGTTTCCCCCTGGCTGTGCTGAAGTTGGTGGTGAAGGTGTTACACTGACCGGATGAGGAGGTGGTAGAGGAGAAGGAAGTGGAGTAGGAGGAGAAGGCAACAGGAGGCAAAGCTGTGTACCCAAGTAAAGATTGTCAAATGTTGTATCCTGGAACTGTGTCCCATCCGGTTACTGGGGAAATGGGTCTGACCTATTCTTATCAAAGGGTATAACCATCGGTTAATCAGGTCCTGCTTCAATTGGTGGCAAGTGGCAGGAACCCATGTCCCTGACAACAGACCAATGGACTACAGTGCTCTAAAGTGACCTACACTGCAGGACTTGTGTGGAGCCAGAAGAATAACGCCTGGTAGGCGTAACAAGGCCGAATTCACTGTTGCGCTCATGGAGGACGACCAGGCACGCAGTGAGGCAACTAACCCCAGCCAGGGGCCGGAGATGAGGAGGAAGTGCGCAAGGAGGTGGAACGGTGCCTGGCATATTACTGAGAGCCATCCTCAGAGGAGATTGTCAGCAGGACCTTTTTGGAGGTGCAAGCCTATGTCCTTGCGAATAGACAGAGGGCGACCTCCATGAACCCAGATGAAGGAAGAAGGGAGCAGAGGGCGCCGGGAAGCATAACCACCCTGGCCCACAAGCTACCATACAATGCCTTCAAAGGCTTCAAGGCAGCAGAAAAAGGCATCAATGACTTTTTACAAGACTTTGAGTACCAGTGTCTACTCCAAGACATGGACCCCAGCGACTGGGTCACCATCCTGGCCAGCAAACTATTGGGGAAGGCAGCGGATATTTACCGGGCTGTACCAGAAGAGCAGATCAGAGACTATCCCTTTTATTACACAAATCCTCCTGGCCCGGTATGCGGTCACCCCCGAGCAATACAGCCGAAAGTTTAGGGATACCAGAAAAGGGGAGAAGGACTCCCATGTGGAGTGGACATGCCGCATCACAAGGGCCACCCAGAACTGGCTCAACTCCCATCAAGCCAAGTTCCCAGAAGAGATCACCCAGCTCCTCATGCTAGAGCACTTTTTCAATGGGCTCCCCAACAACATGGCTGGTGAGAGACCGCCAGCCCCAGACCCAAGAAGTATTGGTATGAGCTGCTGAAGCTAGCTCACGATATTCCCTTGGCTGGGCATTTGGGCAGGAGTCGGACAGCGTCTCGGCTCACCCAAAACTTATTCTGGCCAGGCATCTCTCAGGATCTGAGGCAGTACAGCCAGTTGTCTGCCAGAGAGTGGGGAAGAGAAGGGACCGGCACAGGGCCCCCCTCCATCCCCTACCTATTAGTCAAGATCCGTTAAGCAGAGTAGCTGTCAACATTATAGGTCCCCTAGCCAAGCCTAGTCCCTCAGGAAAGAAGTACATTCTGACCATCGTGGACTACGTGACTCAGTATTCTGAGCAGTATTCGGGCAGAGACTCTGGCTGAAGCCTTGATGCGAGTGTTCTCCCGGATGGGTTTTCCCCGGGAGACTCTCTCAGACCAGGGCACCCAGTTTACTGCCGAAATAATCCACCAGCTGTGGAGATTGTGCACATTAAACCAATCCTGAGCTCCTCTTACCACTCCCAGACCAATGGCCTGTATGAGCGCTTCAATAGTACGTTGAAGCAAATGATCCGTGCCTTTGCGGCGACTCACAAGGATTGAGTGAGATTCCTGCTCCATCTCCTGTTTGCCTATCTGGAGGTGCCGTAGGAATCAACTGGGTTCTCCTTGTTCAAACTGCCATGCCAGGGAACTCCTTGGAGCTGGCTTTGGTGTGCTCAGTACCTGGGTGCGGTGGGCAGTAGCAGGCATACTGTCTAGGGGACGGCTGCTCCGTTTTTGTACCCTGCTCTAGGAGGAGGATGTGGAGTAGGAGGTTGAGGAGACCGTGGCGGCGAAGACGCATTCAGATGTCTGCACTATCAACTTTCAATGGACTTTCTGCGCCTACCATGGTGACCACGGGAGAGGGAGCCTGAGAAACAGCTACCAAATCCAAGGAAGGCAGCAGGCGCGCAAATTACCCACTCCCGACGCAGGGAGGTAGTGATGGTAAACAACAATACAGGACTCTTTCCAGGCCCTGTAATTGGAATGAGTCCACTTTAAATCCTTTAACGAGTTGAAGTCTGGTGCAGAACGACTGACCCGTGCGTGCCTTTCAAAACACGCCATTAAATTGCCGAACTCCAACCCGAACATACACTGATATGTACGTGTTTGAGTCTGAGGTCCAAAAAAACTTAATGTTCGGTACAAACCCAAACTTTACAGTCCGGGTTCGCTCAACTTGTGGGTTATATGCTTGGATTGGTGTTGATATCTTTGCAGACAAAACAAGCAAAGATCGCATAATGCAAGCGTCTAGATGCCAAGGTCAGCTCCCAGGACAATTTTCCCAAATCAAGCTATTCATGGACCTTTCCACTGCGACCATGATAAAAAGGCACCATGTTTACCCACATCACAGCGGCATTGAGAGCGGCAGATGTACAGTATAAGTGGGGCTTCCCGACCAAGTTACTAGTAAAACGCAACGGCGTAGACAACCCGATTCTTGATCCTGAATCCGGCAAAAGACAACTGCTGGAGTGGAACATTCCGATACCAAATGACCCCTTACTAGCTACAGAGGACAGATCTGCAATCAAACTCCACAATGAATGGAAGAAACAACCACGTCCCAAGACCACACAAAGACAAGTTTAGCGTAACCAGATCTCCCAATCGTGTGCTGACCACACGGTGCTCATACGGGACAGGTCGTATACAAAGACTATATACGTACATGCTCCTTTCTTGCAAATTATCATGCCGGGCTAGAAGCCTACCTACACCCAGGGAGGGCGTCACTAAGGCCATCCAGAATTGCTATGATTTTTGCTGTTAAATCCTTGCTACCGATTTCAATAACCACCCCCAACGTGGCTACCGACTCAGAGTCACAAGAGAATCCGTTAAGTTTGACACTGCACCGCAGAAGCGCAGTGAACGGAACATTGTACATAGTTGACTATTGGTTTAGTTATTATATTGTTTTATCCTCTCTTTTTTTTTTTATAAGGCAAACCCCACAGACGGTATGTCCCGCATCCTTATCACCATCTAGCACCACCATGTTAGCTATACAACTACCTCCCATTGGGGAACCTAATGTTGGAGGGGCACCCTGTCTACCCCCGAGTAGCCACAGACTATACCACATGACAGATGGTACTTAAAATATGCTCCCTAAATACTAAAGGGTTAAATTCCCCCCACAAGCGCCGCCTAGCCCTGCGCGAAGCAAAATCATTAGGTGCCCACGTAATGCTTTTCCAAGAAACGCACTTCCAATGGGGTAACAGACCGAAGTTTAATTCCCCACAGTATCCCATAGATTACCACTCATGTTATTCCGCAAAAAAAAGAGGAGTGTCCATCCTTATTAGCAGAGGTGTAGCTTTCTCCTTAATACGCAAAATAGGAGATAAAAAGGGAAGGTACCTTATATTCCAATGCTCCCTAAATAATAATGTCTATACCTTAATTAATGTATATGGACCTAATGTTAACCAATGGAACTTTGTTGATGTACTGCTTGGTTTGATGTCTGCCCACGCACTTGGGGAAGTGATCATTGGGGGTGACACGAATTTCTTACTAGACAGTAACCTAGACTCATCAGGAGGCCCCCACTTGACCGCACAAACACTAAAGAGCAGGTCCAAACTAACCACACTAATATGCAACAAACTAACACCGCACAATCTTGTAGACCCGTGGCGAGTAACCCATCCCACAGAGAGGGACTACACATGCCACACAGCAGCGCATAACACTTATTCGAGAATAGATAGGTTTTTGATCCGCACCTCCTCCATCATAAAGGTTGAGCGCACAGACATAGGTCTTATCACATGGTCAGACCATGCCCCTATCACACTACAACTCAGGGAACAATTCCCCAACTCAGGAAGAAGCAGTTGGAGACTCAATGAACAATTGCTTTCCGACCCTGCCGTAGTTACCCAAATAGAACAAGATCTACAGTTTTATTTTAAAGAAAACAAAACCCCAGACTCACCTCCACCCCAAATATGGATGGCGCACAAAGCCTTCATAAGAGGTTGCTTCATCAAGCACGCCAGCTACGCAAAAAAAAGCGACTAGAATCATACACAGCCATACTTTCCGAATTAACCTCTCTAACTCACACTAACAAACACACCCCCACAGCAGCCACACATACTAAATTATTGCTCTTACAATCGCAGCTGAGAGATTTGGAACTGGCCAAAACCACATTCCTCATGCGCAGGTTTAAACACGGCTTTTTTGCTACAGGCAACAAAGCGGGAGCGCGGCTGGCTGCCCAATTGAAACAGAGGACGGCTAACTCCAAGATTGCCTCCATCACGAGTTCCAAGGGCACCACAATTCTAAACCCACAGGGGATAGTGGACGAATTTGCCCATTATTATGAAAAACTTTATAATCTAAAAGATGACCCACAGACAGTCTGCCCCTCCAAAGCAGATATTGACACCTTCCTAGCAAGAATCGACCTCCCTACCCTATCTAAGACAGAGGCGGAACAGCTTAACAAACCCTTCACGACCGAGGAGATCGCCTTGGTGATCTCCACACTCCCACTACACAAATCACCGGGACCTGATGGCCTGCCTAATAAATATTACCGCACCTTCCTTAACACCCTAGTGCAACCTCTCGGTGCTCTGTTTAACCACTGCATGACAGAAGGGGCATTGCCAGAAGAGGTCACAATGGCACATGTCTCCACACTTCCCAAACCGGGCAAAAATACAGATCAATGTAAAAACTTCAGGCCCATTTCATTGTTAAATAGCGATGCCAAAATCTATGCAAAACTATTCAGCGAAAGATTGGCACCGTTGCTACATAAATTAGTACACAATGACCAGTCCGGATTTGTGAGGGGCCGACAAGGCTCTGATAACTCGAGGAAAGTGCTAAACATAATAGCGGGGATGGAGAGGGAACAAATCGGAGGTCTTTTCCTGGCGCTGGACGCCGAAAAGGCCTTCGACAGACTTAACTGGCAATATATGACACAAGTGCCGTGCAGGTATCAGTTCCCTGAAGAGGTTATCAGGGGGATCTTGGCTCTGTACGCACGACCCAGTGCTAGGGTCTCCCATGGAGGCTTCCTGTCGCGAACTTTTCACATTACGAATGGGACACGCCAGGGATGTCCACTATCCCCCCTGTTATACATACTCTCCCTAGAACCCTTGGCTTGGAAGATAAGACGACACCAGGCCATAACCGGTATTACACTGGGGGACAAGAACTATTGTCTGGCAATGTTTGCGGACGATATTTTCGTGGCACTTTCAAATCCAGAACAATCGCTGCCCCCTCTGCTAACTTTACTGACAGACTATGGTAGAATATCATACTACCGTCTGAATAAGGAAAAAACACAAGCCCTACCGATAAACCTACCAGGGCCCACTGTAACCACCCTTAAAAACTCCTTTGAACTCGACTGGCGAACAACGTCTATAATGTACTTAGGGGTTAAGATCGCCGCTCCTATTAGCAACATAGTAAAGCTCAATTACAAGCCCCTCATACATCTATGCACCACAGAGATACATAAATGGAAGAATGCAAAACTGTCCTGGTTAGGCAGAGTGAATGCATATAAGATGATGCTATTGCCAAGGTTACTCTATATATTCTGCATGCTCACGATAGACATCCAAGCCGCAATTCACAAATCGTTACAAGCCATATGCAACTCCTTCATCTGGGGGGGGTAAGAAACCCAGGCTGCCCCTAGGTCTCCTACAACGGACGACACAAACGGGGGGTATAGGCATGCCCAACATTGGACTCTACTACAAAGCCTCTATTCTAGCAACGAGTATAAACCTACACGCCCAACAGGGGGTAACACAGTGGGTGGATATGGAACAAGGCCAACTTAAGCACACCTCACTGCTTAATTACCTATGGACGCCGAGAACACTAAGAGGCCCTAAAGTAACTCTATACCCCACCACAACCGCAACGGTCAGAGTGTGGGACGACTTTATGTCCTCCCTTGGCTGGAGGAAACACTTCCACCCTGAAGCTCCCCTTACTGCACTACATGCAGTGAATCCTACGATCGCACTAACCAGATGGTCACGCTTAGTTATATCCCAAATCCAACAACTGTGTACAGACCAAACGATCATGAGTTTCCCAGACATCAGAGACAGGTGGAAAGTCCCGGAGAGAGATATCTTCCCCTACTTACAACTAAAAAACACAATAAACACACACGTCAAGGGCACACCACCCACAGATGCTGGACAGCACCGATGAAACCCAAAGCCCTCTCACTTTGCTATAAAGCATGGCTAGACCTAGCACCACAAAAGACCGATGACATGTAAACAGCACTGGGAGACGGAGAGGGGGACAGTCATGACAGATGAAAGGTGGATGCTGGCCCTAAATGGGATCAAAAAGTGGACCAAGTGCTACTCACATATTGAAGCGCATCGCAAACTACTCTATAGGTGGTACATGACGCCCATCAGACTACACAGAATGTACCCAGACGTATCCACCAAGTGTTGGAGATGCGGTGTGGAAGAGGGAACCCTGCCACACACATGGTGGCAATGTGGGGGGATACAACCTCTCTGGGGTGATGTTCAGATCCTACTGAAGGATCTCGGCATTAGGGACTTCCCCATGAACATAATCACCTGCCTACTCTTGCTGTTCCCCGAAACGACACAACAAACCATGTACAATTGATAGGGATAGTTTTAATGGCCACTAGAAACCTGATAGCACTAAACTGGAAAACACCTAGCTGCCCAGCCATCCACCAATTGGCAGACAAAATACAACAATTATTTATATATATATATATAAGAAAATGTCCACTGACCCTGCCAAGGCCATGGAAAGGTTCCGAGACATTTGGAGGGTCTGGGAGACATGGTATGAGGGAAAGAAACACCATGGAGGGTGAGAGGGGTGGAAGGGACCCAGAGGAGTCCGGAGCAGCCCATGGAAACATGGAC